ATACTGCGCTCTGTGAGCATCCAGCTTCTTTTGCAATTGCCTTTTGAGACTTTTCCTCCTTATGGAGGGTGTCAATGATGGTCGTCTGCACAACCGTCAAGTCAGCAGTCTTCCCCATGATTCTGAAGCCTACTAAGCCAGACTGAGACAATTTCAAGGCTGAGGAAACCTTTGCAGGTGTTTTGCATTAATTAGCTGACTAGATTGGGACACAGGGAGCCTACAATGTTGAACTTTGTCATGATATTCTAATTTTGTGAAATACTGGATTTGGGTTTTTTTTGTCTTTAATCCATAATCATCAAAATTGAAACAAATAAAGGCTTGAAATATTTCACTTTGTGTGCAGTGAACTAATATAACATACAAGTTTCACTTTTTGAAACAAATTATTGAAATAAATGGACTTTTCCTTGATATTCTAATTTTTTGGCACATACCTGTATAGACAGGTGTGTGGCTTTCCTAATCACGTCCAATCAGTATAATCAAACACCGCTGGACTCAAATGAAGGTGTAGAACCATCTCAGGGATGATCAGAAAAAATGGGCAGCACCTAAGTTAAATATATGAGTGTCACAGCAAAGGGTCTGAATACTTATGACCATGTGATATTTCAGTTTTTCTTTTTTAATAAATCTGCAAAAATGTCAAAAATTCTGTGTTTTTCTGTCAATATGGGGTGCTGTGTGTACATTAATGAGGAAAAAAATGAACTTAATGATTTTAGCATATGGCTGCAATATAACAAAGAGTGAAAAATTTAAGGGTCTGAATACTTTCCGTACCCACTGTATATAACTGTGGAGGACAAAAATATAGAGACACATCTAAATATAATGTAGTCCAGTACAACACCACCTTTAACTATGTCCTCAGTATTAAACATAATTGAATTTATACAATTTTACAAAAAACCAAAACATTTTGAACTTCATAAACACATGTGAAGGTGGAAGTGTTGCCTTGACTTGCACACAATTGCACAGGTGTACCTAATAAAGTGGCCAGTGAGTGCACATTCAAGTTTAAGGCAGTCTGAAACAAAATACGTACATTCAAGCCCAGTGGAACCAGCCTGTTTGATTGTCTAAAGCTTCAGTAGCTCTCTCTTGCTGTGTCACAGATCTCACAAACAACTTGGACTTTGAGAGTGTTTACAGTCAGTGATCTGGGCCCAGATTGTGTCCGTTAAATTGCTATCTTCAGTGACTTACCTTTGATAACAGACCATGATCATCACCAGCACAGTGATGCCACTGATCACTACTATCACTGCAGCAACGATGGACACCGTGGACAGTGAGGACGACTCTGGATCAGTACACACACACAAAGTAATATTAAGGATCAGAACTGACGTAGTGACAAGTTGCATATGTTTAAATGTTTCATTGGTTAAAACACTAGAGTAATGTGAATTGTAAAATCAGTGCACCCAACCTGAGCAAATAAAGGAACCTGGTCTGTTGAGGCACTCCAGGTTTTGTGGACAAGGAGAACTCTGTTCTTCACATTCATTAATATCTGTCAAAGGGCAAAAACACAGATACAGATTAACAGACTAAAGCCAACAGTACACTGACTCTACTCCCAGTTAACATCTGTCAGTCTTCAACCTGGAATAGCTTATTCATCTGTGCTGTAGATGGCCGTTGTTCAAAAATGATTAAACACACACTGCTGCACTGGGTGATGTATTCCTTCATTACAAAACATCAGACCAGTGTATACATTGCCCCAAAAGCTTCAAATGACCATAACTTTTTACAGTGTCTGAAGTAAAGCAAGACTTTGTATGTGTGACATCTACATGAAAATACAAGAAGCTAGCAGAGTGCAAACAAGGAACCCGTTAACCATTGCAAGAATGTGCACATTTTGCAGTAAGTGCTAAATAAAAGTAATTCCCCACAAATATTTTAAAAGTAACAAGCCTGATTTGAAAAAATCTGAGTAGAAAGTACAGATATTTTTGTTAATATGTAGGAAGTAAAAGTAGAGTTGTCAGAAAAATAAATGCTCAAGTAGAGTACAGATACCTGAAAAATGTACAGTACCTTGACATGTTGGAGGTGCAGGGCTCCACTGCTGGCTGTTTGGATCACAGCTGACAGATGAAGGCCCCAGCAGCTTGAATCCAGAGTGACACTGATACAGAATCACAGAGTCACAGAGCAGGGAGTAGCCAAATTGAATCCTGGGTATCGGACCACAGATGGGATCTGGAAGAGAGGTCAGTGGATAAACAGACACGCCTTGTGACAACACACAGCATATTTTTCTGTCCTCACTTCCTCACCTGTGTCTGGTTCTTTCCAGGGGCTGAGGTCGAGGTGGGGGATGAGTGGGTGGGAACACGCTAGCATGTCTTCAGGCCTCTCAGTGCGTGAAAACGGGTCAGCGGGTACAAGGGTGATGTGGCTGTTGTCACAAATGATGCGGGACAGAGAGACAGCTTGGAGGTGTCTCCTCTGGGTGCTGGTGAACACCCCTTCCCTCTCCCACCAAAACCTCAGAGGACAAAGACAGATTTGACTGTCTCCTCATGCTTACAGTGTTAACTCATGTTGTTACATCAGCAGATGGTCAGCAGAAGAGCTAGTTGTACCTGTCTCCATCTCTCAGGGATTTGAACTGTTTAGCTATCAGGCACGAGAGGAGCAGTCCGACTCGGCCTCCAGGCAAAGCAGGCTCAGAGATGGCCCCCACCCACAAATCAATGTTGTGTGGTGTCCCATAAAGAAGCTGGAATTTGCGAGCCAGTGTGAAGTTACCCAAGATTTCAGCCAGCTCTGATGTAGAGTTGGGAACAGAAAGGCCACAGAACCTTCGCCACAAGCTGTACCCTGATGAGATGAGACAACAGGGACCCAAGAATTTATACATCTGGTAAAGTGAGAATGAAAGAAGAGTGTTGAATACAACATTTCATGAGGTTGTACCTAAACAGTACTTGTAAGTACTTGACTACTTTTTTTTTTTTTTTTACTTGAAAAATACAAGTACTTAATAAAACAAATCCAGTCTGTCAAAACAGTCCTTGTTTACAATGACCTGACGCTGTTGACAGTATTCAGGGGACTTTAAAAAGTGATACAGTAACTACGTGCTGTGCCAGATGAATGAAAGCTGGTACCTGGCAGGCCGTGGTCCCGGCCCCTCTGGAGGTTGAGGGCCCCGAGGTCCAGAGGCATCCCTCCCTGTGCCTGAAACAGCCTCTCTATCAGCTCCTCCACCATCATCTGACCTGGAGTCTGAAGCTTGGCCGGAGACAACAACATACCACGCAGCACAGGGTCTATGCCACCTGACACATCAGGAAAGAAAGAACGACACTAAGAATCACATGTCACTTAAGTACTAGTGCTTAGATCTTTGTTCTTTACCTTCCTGCACAACTCTCCAAGAGGCAAACAGTGAATGATGCAGAGGCAGCAGGGGATGCTGGGAGTTAGTGGTGTATCCTGGCCCCAGCCTGGCCACCACTGGCTGCACAGTGACGTGAGCAAAACGAAAGGCAGCAGTTGCAAAGGCGTTAGCAATGCTGGGATCCACCTCAGGATCATAGCCCTTATAGGGAGGCATCAGAAGGGACATGGCATGTTCACCGAGGACTCTTGGCAGGTAGTGCTCCCACGTTAGGATCTGGAATGGTAAAGGAAACAGGAATGCTGAGAAAGCTCATGTAGGTGAAGGTGAATTGAGCATAAAGAGATGGTGATACCTGGTGAATGGCGCCCATGATCTTGCGGGCCTCCTGATAGAGGGTGTCAGGGCCCCAGTGAGGGTTGAGCAGGTGCAGCTCTTTGACTAGCCGGTTGTGCTCTCTCAGAAAGAGTGAAAAAAACAAAATGTTCATTGGCTCTTGAATCACCTGTGAAATATTAATCATGAACGACTGCTTCACTGAAGCCAGCAGAGAACAGGTGATTCACCACGTTTTTGTTCTCACCAGCTTGAAAGCAAGATGTAGTGTTCTCCTGGCGTGTGGTTCTGTCTGATGCCCCTGATGTGGAGTTACGAGGGCCGCAGGGGTCCAGGTGAGTCTGCTGGCGAGGCAGGAAGGGCATGTAGGCCAGCTCGTGGTCTGAGTGCTGGGAGTTGAGGGCCATTGAGCCCAGAGGAGAGGAGTGATTTCTCAGAGCTGATGCCAGACTGGTGGAGCTGCCATACACCATACTAGCATCTACAAAGGAGGTAATGGCATTCAGCTGCTCCCGGTGGCGATGAGGGAGGATTCCAGCACCACAGCTTGGAGCAGAGCGGAAGAAAGGCATACATCTTTGGGCATCACTACGAGGATCTGACAGAGGGATCTGGGAAGATGAGGTTTTCTGTTGTCACTGATACTAAATGGAAAATAAATGTTCTTGTTTTAAATAATACAGTAGATGAACCCTTCAGAATCACCTGGTTTTCTCAGGTTAACTAGATCTACTTCAATGTTTAGGGTCAAGTGGAGTGTCAAGATGCTCTCTGACAAACTTCAGGCATACAGTGAATTTTTTTGTTTTATTTATTTATTTTTGGGCTCCATGCGGCGAGGTGGTTAGCACTGTCACCTCACAACAAGAGGTGTGTGGAGTTTGCATGCTTTCCCTGTGCCTGCATGGGTTCTCCCCAGGTGCAGACAATAAGAAACAACAATGTAATGGGTGTGTAATAAGGAAACATGACTGTAGTTAGAGCAGCACCTGTATGGGGAAGCAAGGTGTGTCCTTGCTGCAGGTGTGTGTGCAGTCAGCTCCGGTCCTAAAGGCGGCTGTACTGGGGCTCTGAGGTGTCAGCACCATGTCATGGTCTATCCACTGACCCCACTCCACCAGCAGGTGGGACAGACCGGAGTCCAGAGAGATGTCATCATTGTGAGTGAACAGCACCTCCTGAGACACCAGCCGCACCTGCACAACAAACCAGGTGAGGAGTGATGGAGTTACTGCAGCGGGCAGGACAGACGATGACAGAGTGCTGCTGCTGGACTCTTACAGGAGGCAGGCTGATGTTGTGGTAGGTGTGCTCCAGGTCCCAGCCCCTAGGAGCCCCCCACACATCCTCGTACTCTGGAGGCAACCAGCGGGAATATGGGATGTTTGCAGCCCCCCATCTGGGATGCTGTCTGAGCAGGACACGGCAGAAGCAGTTACCAAAACCACAACAACAACATATATTAAGGACAGCAGTATTCTGTCACCAGATTTGTTTGGTGTGTGCATGTCAGCTCAGACCTGTTGTTGCACTCTCCTGTGATGGATCTGTAGCGGTGAGACAGACAGTCACTTTGACAGCTGGGTTTCTGCAGCTCAGCAGAGCAGCCCGTCACCTGCAGCAGATTCTCCACATCCCCTTCACTCAGAAGCTCTTTAGAAAAACACAGTAAGAACACCAAAACCTTAGTTATACAAATAGCTTCAATATTAGCATGAATCTGCTGGATGTGAGAGATGTAGATCATTTGGTACAGTCGTGTCAGAAAACCAGTAAGCAAATCAAAGAACAAACTAACATAAATCACAAATCTATACATACAAGCGTTTGACTTGTTTGTACTGTAGCTTGTCTGGCTGGAAAGTGGAAAGTGGTTTCATAAAGTACAATAGTACAGTGTAGGTATAAAGCCTCTGTGTTTTCAGACTGGATTTCCAGTTAACAGCTTTTGGTCAGTGGATCAGAGAACATGCATGATGCATTGTATGAGGAGAAAGTATGGTGAATGTGTTGAAAACAATGCTAAGCCAATGTAATGGAAGCCTGGCATGTAAGAGAAGTACTAGAGTAATTCATCAAATACCTGGATTATGTGGAAACAACTATTTGACATACAGGATCAGAAACATCTGTGTGTTGTCACATGCTGTCCAATACCGTGAGGGTTGGGCTGCACCATACTGTGAGTGTAGACCATCTCTCTGATCAGCTCCACTGTGTTGTCCAGCAGTTCTGCAGCCTGGATTTGAGTCCTGGTTCTGGCTCCGCTTTGTTTAAACTGAGCCAGCAGGTCACTGGGTCTCAGAGCACCTTCAGAGAGAGACTTCTTATCTCTGAAACATGAAGAGCTTCAAGTTTTAGTGTCAACACAGTGCCTTAAAGTAGAACAGTGATAATTTATGCTTTGCAGTGGTTCAGCTGGCTCTGAAATATGGCCATTTTTACCTTTCATTTGTGTGGGCATAAGCAGCATCAGTAAGCTCAACTGCCCTCCGAAGAGCCTCCTTCACAAATACAGACCCTGGATACACAGTCCCTGAAATTACCATAAAGGAAAGCAGAGGTCCAACTAGGAAGGATTCATCAGTATCTGCTCTTTTTAGTAATAATCAGGCAGAAATCCTACCTGATGTGTTGTCAAATACTCTGTTCAATGAAGCATGCTCAGGGAGGGAGAGTAGGACAAAAGCCAGTCCAGTCAGAGAGAGGGGAACCTATAACCAAAGAACAATAGAGTATCTCAAGAAATGTGGTGCAATATTCTACAAAATTCATTTGAACAAACAAGCAGGGAAAAAACACAAACTCACCATGAGTGCTGCGTCCATCCAGAATGTTGAAACAATTCAGTTTGCCCAGATTCCGTTTTAAAAATTAAATCATGCACATAATATCTTATACTGTGCTAAGCTTTACTCATCTTGAAAGCCAACAGGTGTGTGTGGTAGCTCGAGCATCGATGCTGCCATTTATACGCTGTCAGCAGGTATGTGCAGAATCCCCTTATCAGTCCTTCTGGTGACAGGACAGCAACATCACTCACTGGCTCGACCTAATAACCTTTCAAATCAAATTCTGTCCTCTCACTCATGATGAAAACCTTCTGTCAAATCATCATTTCAAATTAATTAAACAATTCTACTCGTCCTTCCACACATCAGGAAATGCATCTTTGTGGCAACAGTTAAATTCAAGTGGTTTCAGTATTGGATGTCACACCGTAGCCGACTGAAAAGAGATTATTTTTATTAGCCAAACAGAATTTCATAATGATGCATTCCGATTTCTGGGACTGTTTTTATTAAAAGTGTGTCTGTGCCAATTCAACCTGATCATCCCTGTGCCCGTGACACAGACAGGTGGGCGAGCCGGAAGATGAGGGAAACAAAGACACAGGTGGGGAAAAAAATGAAGAACGAGATTGAAAATGATAAAGCACGAAGAATGAGACTGAAAGATCTCAGTTAAGTCACTGTAGAGATTGTGACATGTCCAGTATGAGCCTTTACAGCGGCTACAACTTGAGCACCAGGACTTCCCTCTTCCCGCTCGCTTCCCTTTGATGATCCAGGTGTGTGATACCATCAAGTGAGTCAGTCCCATTTCATTAGGTTCTTATTAATGTTCTCTCTGTTGACCCACATTACCAATCATCTACTTTGCGCTCTTGATGTTCTTTGAACTCTTTGTAAAAAAAAAAAAAGGGGAACCTTTGATGAAAATACAAAACCAAAATATGCAACATTAAATGCGCATTTCACCCAAATCACAATAAGACATTTTCCCTCACTTGCCCCTCCCCTAATGTTTTCAAGTCCACCTCTCCAGGAACCAAAATATTCACAGTGGGTTTTATAAACTAACTTGAACATGAGCATATAAAGCAGCAGCTCCTCAGTACTGAGCTTGAATCACTGATTATTCTACAGTACATGTTGGTTACAGACACTCACGTCTTCTGTTGTTCACGTGAACTTTTACAGATTCACTTAAAGAAAATCCAGGCCTGGCCATGATTGTGCTGACCAGAACCTTTGTTCTATTAAAAACAAAACAACAGAAACATCAGGACCTTTCATGCTGACAGTTTTATTCACATATTATCTGGTTAGAATATTTCACAGTTATTACTGAGCGTTCAAATGTTGTCATACATTACATGAAGTGTTTGATTATCTGTGCATGCTTGACCTGACTCATTAAAAAAGTAATGTGATAACACCATGTACTTACCCCTGAATGTTGTTAAAACTGGCAAGTAAAAGTAACGAAGAGATGATACTGGACAAAAAAACTGGGAAGGTCTGACAGATATACCAGTGCATAAATTCAGTCCCAGCAACTGGAGAGGAGACTTACATACATACAGTGTTAGAGAATGTGTTTGGCTTATAGAAGCTGCTGTCTGCTGCTGGTCTGGAGTCAGGCGTGCTGAGACCACAGGAACCGATCGCAGCGCTCCAGCATCGTCTGAATGATTGCCCTGTAACAGAATAAGCAGACATTGTACTGTACAGCTTCATCTTCATTCACATATTTTGGTTCAATACCTGCTTATTAAAAAAAACTTTTGAAGCAAAACAGCATTTTCACCAGTATGTCAAGGCTTAAAAACATAAACAGAATCATATTATATTAGAAAATCTCCCACATTATTCAGGAGCCACAAGGAACCCAGCTGATTTTTACTGTTGTCTCAACCTCTGAACTGCTTCCTGTTCTTGTGTACTTAAAAGTGACTGCTAACTGGCACCAGGACCCACCTCTGCCTCTTCTCAGTGACTCTCAGAAGCTCACAGACCAGTTTGGAATGAGGGGAAAGGTCCAGCTGCACCCGACACTCCTCTAGCATAGCCAGAGCTTGGTCAGGCCCGGCCATCCGGGCCACCCTCAGGGTCAGGCTCTCCGGGTTGATCTTCCCTCCACAGTCTGCTGAGCCACTGGACCGGCTGCCACCATTCACACCCCCGACTTGCTCTGAGTCTACCCCGCTGCTGTACCGCTGAGACATCTGAATCAAGAGCTTCCACTCATCCAGGGTCTGTGGCTCTACACCTAGAAAATAACAGAGCCAGGATAGACATAAGTATGAGTGTTGCTTTCTGTCTTTAAAGTCAAACTTTGTGCTTTAGAGTGCATTTAACCTGTTGGTTTTTAATGGGGGTGGTTGCCACATGATTTTCCTTGTGTCTGAAAGAACCAAAGGAAAAGATTCTGAAAAACAGCTTTACCATCTGGTTCCTCCAAAAGGCTGATGTCATCCAGCTGACAAATGGTGGAGAACGCTTCTGTTCGACGCTGCAGCTCACAGCAGAGGTACAGGTAGCCCATCCAGTACCTGTATATGCACGTTGTACACAAAAGGCGACAGGCGACACTGTAAACTCGCTACCAAAAGGTGCCATCAACAGCAAAAGATCGACAGTTCTTTATAGACTAAAAATTTAAGGTACCCGTGATTGTGGCAGGTCTCTGCCATCTTCTGCTTGGACACCAAGTCTGCAGGAAGACGAATCAGCAGAGACAGAAGGCGTCCATAACCCCAGCTGAAACAATGTGAATGCCACCTGTGACAGGAGTCGCATGAACTCACAGTTAAAATTATTCTCACACTCTCATTTCAGGTTCTTGGCCATGTGGTGGCCTAAACATACTCTGGTAGCAAAGTGTTCCTGTGATACCAGATCATTTCACATCTATCCAGATTTGTATGTTAGTTTTTAGTTGTTTTATTTGATGTCTAGCTTGAAATTTGTACACACACACACACACACACACCTACACCTCACTAGGCCTCTGAGTAAAGGTTAGATAGATAAAATATTATTTGTATATGTTCCACACCTGCATACATCAGGTTCAGTGATACCTAAAGAAACAGAAATGTTGTTTTGTATTTTTCACACACTAACAGAACTGGACCTAGGCTGTCCATCAGGGTCTATGGTGTCAGAGTGTTGAGGAGCATCATGGGTAAGTGCCAGTTCCAACCAATCCTGTCGCAGAGATTCAGGTTCAAGAAGGGACTGCAAAAACGCCAACCTATCAAAAGAAATGAATGTAAGATTTGTGGACCAAATAATATATTTCTTTTCTTTTTTCAGATAAAACTGAGGATGTACCTGTGCTCCTCAGTTTGCGACTGGACCAGATTATCCAGATATGCCAGGAAGTGGCTTTGCTGAGCCATGGTCATCACATCAGCAGGAGTTATGGTAGGATAGAACTGGGAAAATGAGCGTACTGCTGCTTCCCCATGCTTCTCATACAGCCTAGTTAATAAGAATCGACTGCATAAGATTCTTTACAGTTTTAATATTATGTGTGGATGGTGCTGGAGAGCAATCCAGGTACTGACCTGTGCAGGTGAGCGAGGAGAAGAGGTGCACTCCAGGGCTGCAGCTCTCTCAGACTGCGCAGTGATCTCAGCAAATCACCTCTCTGAATAACCTCCACCATCTTACTGGACTGAGTGAGCTCTATGAAGAAAGACAAAAATCAGATTTTCAAAAACTTTAGAACTTTAACTATGAGAGCATCAGAGTTCCATAGGCCTTTTATTTAAATGTGGAGGTACCAGATGAGGTCGGGGTATGAATTGTGAAATAAAAATTAATATAGTTTCACTCAGGCTATGCTGATGCAATTCTAATTTTCCTTTTCTTTTTCTTTTTATAAATCTGCAAATTTTTAAGTTAATTTTCTTCTCCAGTTCAGCTCCATTTATTTTTGTGTCTTTTCTAGATATGTTTTCTCTTTATAGTTTCTTTAAATGTTTGTTCTGTTGTTATTTGCTAAATTTGAAATCTGAAAATACAACATGGAAAAAAGGTTAAAACAGTAAAGGTTCATGATTCAGGAGAAGCTTCTGACCTAGCATGGCCTCAGTGAAGGAGCTCTGCACCTGCGGCTGCTCCTGGTAACACAGCAGACACGTTCTTCTCATGCGTTCTTGGTCCAGCAAAAAGAAGTAGCGGTGCAGGAAGGTTGTGCAGCGCAATGCTTTTTCATCCACTGGGTTTTGAAAGCAGCTCAGCTCTGCGTATAGTGTGGCCAACTGGGTGAGATTAGCCAGGAGATCTGATGGTACAGGTTTGGGGGACAACACTCGCACAGGCTCTGGTGGGCTTTCATTTGAGAGTTTAGGCTCAGTCTTAATGGAATAATGCTGGTCCTCTTCTTCTCTGAACTCAGGAGACTCTCCCTTCTTGTCCTCTGTATCACCCTCTGCTGGTTCTCTTGATGAGCAGGAAGATTCCTCTTGTTGATCTGAGCAGGAATTTAGATAATCGCTCTCCCCTCTCTCCTCTCCTGATCCAGCCAAGTTTGAATCAGTCACAGCAGCTGAGCTGAGCTCTGCAGGGCCGAGGATTCGCTCCAGCACCGACAGCCACTCCAGCAGGGTTTCTCCCAAGCTGACTGGATCCAGTAGTATCAGTGGATCTTGGCTCTGGGAGCTGATGTTGGAAAACATTTTTATTGTTTAAATACCATAATATAATTACTATTACAAATTTGAAAAAGAAAGGGTTGTGAAAATGAGCAGGTGGGATTCCAGCGGAGTGCTGTACTTACATAGCTCGCTCTGTTGCTGATCGAAGTTCCTGCATGTCAGCCTTGGTGGTGTTAGGCATTTCAACATAAACTCTGTGACAACAAATATAGCTCACTGATTTTACCTTTAATGCTCTATTCACAACTAAGGTAAAAGGTATGAGCTCTGGATTTCTCTTAAAACTTTGTCTATATGTTATTACAGAATTTATTCTCAGGAAAATTCGGGTTGAGTACACTTTTACCGGTCTGGACTTACTCAGTTTCCATTTCTTCTGAGTATGGAGCTGCGGTGGATGACATTTCAGCCTGTCCGCACTCTCTGAATTCTGGTCGCTGCCAAATCTCAGAGTTCATCTGGAGGGTGTTGAGCTTCTCTGTTGTCTTCTTAACAAAACTAGAAACACTGAAGAAAAGAACACTGAATTAAATACTAGTAAATTCACTTTTGATGGTCTTACAATTTAAGAAACAAAAAGTCCAACAAAACTACAAACAGCAAAACTCAGAATTGTGAAAGATGGCAAAATGAGTGTGATGCTTAAAAACAACACGTTCCTACACGTTATGTTAAATTTGAAAAACTAGATGTGGCTCTTCAGTGGAAAGGGGAAGTAAGCTGTCCAAAAGCACAGCTGCACTTGAATAATAGGTCAGTGTAGGAGTTTCAATCCTCATAAGAAAAAAAAAGTAGTACAAACCACAAAGAGTTTCATCAGTGTTCAGATATAACTCAAAAGCTCAAAGCTACATACATACTGAGTATCTCTAAGGCATGAGCTGCTACGACACATTATTCTATTTCAAGATGTCGTTTATTTCCCCAGATGTTCACCTGTCTTTGACGGCCTGCAGAGCGATGCGAGGGGGTTTGGGGCGGAATGAGAGTGGGAGGTGGAACTGCAGGCCTTGCTCAGATCGCTCAGCCTCCAAACGCTCACCGCTCTGTGGATCTGAATAAAGATGTGGGCAAGAGCCAGAGGAAAAACACAGATGGATGGAGTACTGGAGGGACATGATGACAGGGAGAGCGCAGAATGAAAGCAGATGGTGCAAAGATGCCAGACACCACTATAGAGAGAACGTAAAATAAATACTGCACAAAAAAAAAAAAAAAAAAAAAAAAAAGGGGGATGTGTGTGGAATACAATGGAACAGACAAGAAACCCAGTATTAACAAGGTAAAGATTATTTTTGAAAAGCATATCAGCCATCAGGCTCATCATTCAGCTGTCACAGCAAATCCAGTGATACAGCATAGCGACATGTTGTATGATATTATTGTATGATTTCATTTATTCTTTAAATCAAGTCAGAAACACAGCTGTTGTAGTATTGTAGCAAACACACACAAAGGTATTAGAAACAGGTAGTTATGATTGAGATAAGGCAGAGTCAAATTATTATCAGTCAGGTTTATACTGATGAAGCTTCCAGCAGCTATAAATAATCCAAAATGTTCCAAACATCCTGTTTGGCATTTGTCCCATTAAGTGTTTTAAATTACAGCTATTCAAGCATTTTAATAGACTTGTTCATATAAAGCTGAAAATAACTTCACTCTTTTTTTATATTGAACTCAGAAGAGGCAGAAAATGAGTTTGCTCCTGCTTCACATACAAAGAGGACAGAGATGACAGAGAGAGAGAGACGTAAGTGAGAAGAAAGAAATAATAAAGTGTGTGTGAGTGAGTTACTTCTGTGTATGCTTCTGGTTTGCTGTGGTCATTTTTTGAGCACTAGTGAGGCCAATTTAAATGTTTTTAGTTTCATTTGTTCTGCTGATACTTTTCCAGGTCTTACAGAAAGTGAATGAAAACACCATGACCTCTGGGTCCGTCCTGCACAACAAGTGTCCATCACATGACTGAAGTCTAAGGGTCGTTGTACCTGATAATACTAGTAATTGTGTAATACTGTATACCGTGAAGCCATGATATTTTCTGAGATGGTTATCATACCGTGAGAATCTCATACCATTGCAACCCTACTAAATTTCACTAGTCATGTGGAGGCAATAAAGCCTAAATAGGGGTTCTTCCAGGTTGTCTTTATTCTCATTTGTGCCAGACTGTATAGATTAAACAAAACATATAGGTACATAAGAAGAAGCTATGAAGAATACAATAACACACGTTACTTGATCAAAATGGATAAAGCTGACTCTTACCGTGATCCACCTGATCTTCCTCCTGCACAAAACTGAACTCCTTGAGTCGCTCCTCCTCCGACGCGGACTGAGTGATGATGGAGCTCGTCTCCTCGTCTGACTGGCTTCCTCTGCGGCTGATCACTCGGTAGATTCCACAGTCCAGGATGTTGAAGCTCTCCTGGTGAAGAAGAATAAGATTATCAGTATACTCATCTGTTACATCCAGAACCAGGTTTGACAGCAACTCATTGAAAAAAAGACATTACTGCTGTTAAACACCTTATAGTGTACAGAGAAAGTTATTTTAACTCACATGTGAGGAGATACTGCTTCTGCGGCTGCTGGAGGCTGAGTCCGGAGGCTCGAGTTTACTAATGACTTCCTCCAGCTGGCCAATCAGGTCCAGGTGTGTGGTGGAACTGAGCTGGGACCTGAGATGTTCAAGGCGGTCGATGGGAATATATTTCCTGGCCTAAATTAAGAGATTAAACTTTAATTTAAGAATCCACCAACACCTAAGTTCAACACAGTTGAGACACATACATAAGCTGATACTCTGACTATTAGAAACAGAATCTCTGTTTTATCCTTAGTCACAAAGAAAGTCAAGAATCCAAATGAACAGCTTAGTCCAGATAAGACTGGAATCTAAGATACAAGGGACAAGGCCAATCAGCATGGCAGTGGCAGCCACCTCACCTTGCTGGTGGTGACAGTGTGCTGAAACATACAGCAGACTGCAGCAGCCAGCGGCCAGGACTCCCTGCGCAGCAAACGCTCAACACAGCGCTCGGCAGGTAACAGGGCCAGGTGGGACAGATGTCCGCTGCTGTGAAGACAGAAGAGCTCACTGCGGTAGACTGCGATGTCAACCACATCTACAAAAAAGAAAACAGGTTTGGATCAATTAACAACAAGAAAGGAACAGAAGGTTATGTGATGATAATTATCATGGTTAATATTAATGTTAATAGCAGAGGTCACGACAGACTTTCTCATTGCCCATCATTTTGACAGAATATGACATTAAAAGACATAAAAGACATTTAATAGCATTTAATTGTTTTTTTTTTTATTTCATTCAGTTAATGTATGGAACAAGCTTATGTGCAGCCACTTTTCATGTCAATACCAAGTGAAGCAGATGCCTTTTTTCCGTAGTGACAGTGAAGGCCACAAAAACAACATGGCTGCCCCATTGGGCATTAACAAGCAAATATGAACATTGCAATTGTACAAAATTAGACAATTCCCATTAAAATTCCATACACACAATAACATGGAATCAACTTTACAGCTCAAAGAATTATATTTTGGGAAAAGGATTAAAGAGTGTGTTTATTAACAAAATGTTCATAAAATGCTCAGCTATTCTGCTTTAGATTTTTTGAGACAAAGCAGCAAACGCACCTTTGACTTCAGTCCACAGGAGCACTTGTCCATTCTGAGGTGTGAAGATATAAATGGCTGAATCAGTCCATGTCAGCAAGTTGTGGTCTCTGCACAAATAAACGAGGTGTAGACTTAGTCAAGTGACGGGCTCGTCTAAAATGTTTTTTTTAACAGTGATGCCTGATGGAATTAACATATATGAGTTTTGTTTGCAGTAATAAAGATACAGAGAATACAGATAAAGACAAAGATGATAAAATATATAAAAGATGATAACTTTACCCCAGATAAAGCAGTTTAGGAAAGGCAAGTGACTGGGGACTCCTCTGTGCTAGACTGTAATTTGGCTCATTCCTGCAGGGAAGAAAAGACCAATTATAGGACAAAAGACAAATTATGAGTTTGACCTTTTACAGAAGACAACATAGAAGCAGAAACAAACAGTACCTGTAAGTGATGAGTGGAAGAGGAGGACAGGCCAGTAGCAGTTTCAACTGATGCGTGCTCAGAACCTCGCCATTAAAACTGGCCTCCCATATCCGAGACCCCGGCCGGGCACAGAACAGCAGCGGGGGCTGACCTGCTAATAATCTGTCCTTGTTTTGAGGGAAAAAACAAGCTCCATACGCTCCATCACGCTCCTTATTTCCAACACGCCAAAACTTCTCCCTGAAGGCAGAGAGAGAGAGAAACACACCTCTGCTGACAGATGTCCAACATAAAGAAAAGAGATTTTCTAGAACATTTTGGCAAAACTGAACAACTCATCTGAAACTCATAAAAAATGGCCATATACTCAGCAGTAGGGCTGGACCCGATTATCCAAGCATTCAAATATTTGTCCCCCCCAAGGTGGAAATCGTTCAGGTAGGAGCGTCTTCTGATATTCACCATTTCTGGTTAAAATGATAACGAGTTGGGTGACTTTAGCAGTAACTAACTAACACTACCTCCATGACTTAAATTGAAGACAGGACAAAATGAGAGTGTGCTGTTGTCGGGTTTGTGACTTCACCACAGCCAGTGGACACAGACTGCTGTTGGCCGAAGATCATTTATAAGGTAAAGAGGTATCACTCTGAAACACCACTGAATAATCACAGTGAACTGAGTGTGGGACACTGTCCCATTGGGGACAGCCCTACTCAGCAGCATGATTTGTAATGGTTAAAATCGAATCTAAATAAAATTTATCTATCCATGTTCTATTCCTGCTTATTCTTGAAATATTATGGTGATACTGAGAATAAACACTTTACATAAGAGACATTAGTTGCAACTTTTGAACTTTTACACAAATTGAATTGAGCACGAACCAGATGCCAAATTCAGTATTGAGTGAAGAATAGCCTTTTATATATATCACCAAAAAACTAACACAATTACATGGAATTATCATGTCTCAAGGACATAGGGAAAATACTGTATTTATTAATATAAGGGCATTAACGTGGGGCCACTGAGAGTTGCTCTCTTTAAAGACATGCTGGTACTCACTTCTCTGTGTCACAGAGGTAGCAGCGGCTGAGAGAAGACACCAGCAGGTGGCCGTCTTGGTACCCAAGCTGAACCACCCTGGAATCTACAGTGGTGACCGTCTGAACAGGAAACATAACAAATGCTGACCCCTAGACAAAAGGACAAAAACAGAATCATCTACGAGTCCATTACATTCTGAAACCTTACAAAACCACAAATGCATCAACTACATCATGCCTGAACTTAAAAGCCTCATTTAGTTTAAGTACATTACTAATGAGTAATCAAACGAGCATCTTTTTGATGCTGTTGATTGGCAGACAATACCTTCCCCAGCTTGGAGGATCCTGCACGGAGAAAGGACACCTTGCCTACTGAGTCCCCAACAAAAACTCTGAGCGTGCTGGTGTCCCAGCAGAGTGCAGTGATGGCCTGACCTCTGTGCTCCCAGGACACACCAACTCGCTCTGGACGTCCTCGCCGCTCCAGCTGCAACTCCCACACCACCACCAGACCCTGACTGAAAGAGAGATAAACACAGCAAACACCATGAACAACACAGGTAACAAAACTAAGACAGACATACTGTATATGTAGGAAAGAAAAAGAGGAGGGTGGCAGAGGGGTGAATTTTACTTAGAGATGTACAAACATTTCTAAGAAACACAGGGATAGACTAACCTTGTTGCGACAGCAATGAAGTCTTCATCATGAGGGCAACACGCCACTTCAATAATAGATCCCTCCTGAATAAGAAAGAGTCCAAATTGGGTTATAAGTTGAGAAGAATATAAAGAAACAATTTGTACGTCACAAATATGACACAAATATAAGCCCTTTTCAGACATGCACTGGAACCTTGAAATTATCTAGACATAACCCAGAGGAGCTGTATGCCAGGATGTAAATGTCCGAGTCAGTCGACCCGGACCATTAGCAGACTTTACCCCGCCAGCTCCCTGGTACAAAGTCAGCGTAATGTCTGGGTGAGCCAGAGTCATCTATGTGACAATACATACACATATTCTGGAGTATTTACGGTGTATTCACAATAGGCGTGTTGATTATGTTCTGTCATGTGACTGGCGTGAAACTGTAAGAATAACATCCGATGGTGAAGAAAAACGATCACTTACAACTAGAGACACGACGGGATTCGGGAGCTTCTGTCGTTAAGAACTAGCATCAGAATCGTCACACAAATTTAAGGTACAGCAAGAGACTCTGTTGTTTATGACCAGATTACAACTGGCTACATAACTGCACCATGTTCTGCCTCCGGCAGGGTCTACCCCCATGCATGACTCGAAAAGAGTATTTCCGGTAGCTGCACAATAGGTACTCAGTCAAGTAATTTACCTTGTGAGTTAGTATCAGCCTTTGTTTCCAGCCCTCTCGCTGAATCAGGTGCAACCCTCCTGCTGATGTTCCTAATGCAAGCCACTTCTTTGATGCTGCCAAACAGGTACACTGTAACACAAAAGAATCACATCCAGACAGAGTTTCCTGTATTCACCTTCCTTCCAATGTGGCTGCAAAAAATTTTATCTACATTTGGTCATTACAAAGTTTTCAGGATACATATCCATAAACCGTTGTTGACTTCAAACAAACTGAAGATTTTTTAAAAGGCTACTACAAATCTCCTACACTTGTTTTAACTATGATACTGACTCAGGTATGTGATGGCGAACCCTACCTTGAGTCTGCTAGAGTCCAAGCGTAGCGCGGACAGAAGTGGATCGAGGCAGTCGAACTCTGCCAGTACATGACTGTGGCTCTCTGGGACAACTGGCATCAGTGGCATTTTCACTGGTGATCCTCCACAACTGAGAGAAAGTACAAAAACAAGACTGTGAGTATGTTGTCACCACTTCTTCCTTGCATACCACTGCCCTCAGCCATGTGGCATCATATGATTATCAGTAGAGTACCTACCCTCTCAAATTGACCAGCGATGCCTCCACTTTACACTGTCACGAGCCTAGTGAAAGCCCCCTTTTGTAAGGCTTTAATCGCGCAACAGTTAAGTGTGAAACAAACAGTCATTGATATTTTTAATTTAGCAAGGTTTACCAACATTGCCAGTTATTACCAACATGAAGAAGAAACAGGTGTCTCAGAATGAATTTATTACTTCACACATGCGTAAACAATTCAGTTTTAGGCTCTGGTGTATGGATATTCTATAGTGTATCATATCTAGTGTTCAAAAGTCTTTGTCCTGGAGCTGTCAGTTAATACTCCCAGAGAAAAACAACCCACTGTAGTTTGGCTTTGATTCACATGTTGCAGTCTTACTTGAACCTACAAAAAAGCAGAATCAAAGCTAAAGGTGCAGATCATTAGCGTAACCATGTACTGCAGGGAGAAACATTTCAGTGAAAATGCTAGAAAATGTGTCAAAAAAATGTTTAACAATAAATCTTATACTTATATAGCACTTCTCTACACATGGATGCACACTCAGTGCTTTACACTATTTCCCAATCACGTACACAGATATCCCAGGGGCAACTTGGGGTTCAACATCTTGCTTGAGGGCATGTAGATTTGAAAAGCTGGGGATCTAGCCTCTGACCCTACAGGTAGGCCATGACCCACCCTACCTCCTGAAACATAGTCATCCCCTGCTACTGCTTCTCAGTAGCAAGGGATGACTGCTACTGAGTAATATTAAAGTAGTTGACACAAGAACATCAGAAGAAGGTGACAAATGACAGTCAACTGTGACCTCAGTCACTCTGTTTGTTAGCACTATACTGTAACTTTGTGAGACTGCAAGTCCAAAAATTGAAAGATATTTATTTCACTATATGTGACAAAGAAAACAATCAAAACCTTACATTTCAGAATCCAGTATTTTACAATTTTATTTAAACCTGACCAATGTTCATTTGATTATCAAAACAGTTGCAAATTAATTCTGCAGACAGACTAATGATTATAGTTAGGCTACAGCTCTACATGCTTTATTGTGTAAATAACATTTATTTACACAATGCTGGGAAGATTAAACCATGTGTATTTACAATATTAAATGTACCCAATATGGTACAGTAAAAATACTTCATTCTTTGTGAGGTTGTAGTCTGACTCTCCTAGAAGAGAAAACATCCTTCCCTGTGAGAACTTATGGACCAAAGTGTTTTATGTGCAACCTCAAATTGCACAATAAAATCTATTTTCTTATGCAAATACATTTTATTTTGAAATGTTTCCTAAACTGATATTGTAAAAAAGCTTGATTGCTTGTGAGGTTATAGTCCAACTCTTCCGGACCATATAAATATCAGTTACTGTCAGAACTTTTTATATTTGAGAAAGAATAAGATGTATAACCAGGCTTAAAAGTTCTGCGCGTATAGTTTAATTAATTGCGTTTGTCCATATTCATTTTCATATATCCTTCACAAATGTCTTATTTTGAAAACTGGACGTAGTTAACGTGTTTCCCAACACGTAGCGTAAAACATAAACATGATTTATAGACGCACTTCAATTTCGCGTGCGACTCACCTGACCACGGAGGAATGAATGACGGTCGCAGTTGAAAACGAAACTGTTGACAACATAAACCTCAAGTATTAACAGTTACTACGTTAGTTAACTAAAGTCAACAAACCATAAAATCTCAAGTTCTGCTTATTGCCCATCCTTAGCGTTTATGCAACGTTAATTAAATATCGCTACCCTGTACGCTGGCTGACGTTAACATGAGCTAGACGGTTAGTTTAGTTTTATTTTAGCACAGATATACTGATTAGTTTGCTTCAGATCAACTAAAAGGGGCTATTCGATCGACGGACTAATGGCAGTCTGCATCACGAGACCAGTCTGCGGACACTGGTGGTAACGTTTCTGTCAAATTACAAGGACGTCCAAAGCTTTAAAAATAAAAATGAGCACAGTGTGGCGATGTTAAATGCCCGCATGTTTCAAGCTATGATAAATGTTAAGACTTGAGTTCGCCATCTCAGCCCGGTGTTCACTGTATTTGCGCCAACATGTTAGCAAGTATGCTAGCTTAGACACTGGTGTTGCCATTCACTCATTGTTGTCAGTTAAACTCACCAGATGGTCGGAGTGACACTCAAGCATTACTGTGAACAAATCCACACCAACCCGCTGCCTGACATCCCCAAATTTGTTTTTGTTTTTTTGTTTTTGTCAGTAGTCAACCTCACGCCACCCAGACAGCAGCCAGCCGACAGCTCCACTCAGCTGACACAAGGACACTTCCTGAAAGCAGCATCTCTGCTTTCCAACAGACGCTTTGGTTCGTTAATACGAAAGCTGAAAACATCGACAGTTATCCAAAGCGGCTAAAAGCATTTAGTAAAAGGAACAAACACCTACAGCTCCAGATGCTGTAGTTTAAATGCACCACGACAGAAAGCGCCAGCAATACTACCAAAAAGCACAGGCTGACATCGGAACGAACAAAAAGTTTGTGCCTCGTTTTTTATTTAGTTACACTGTATCTTCAGTGCAGACATTACAAACCAGTAACAGTGCTCTGAGTAACACACAGCAGTGCACTCCCTCATGAAATGTCTTTACAGTATTGCTATGTTCACTCCCCCCCCCCTCTTTTGCTTCAGATTTTCTGGATGATTGTTCCACAAATCGACTCAGTGCTCCGAGGTGCACTGCTTGCAGCTCACACCTCAGTCTGTTGTCCTGAGAGCCTTTTTCTGAGTTCTACTTGATACTTGGCGGTGTTACAACATATTAAAAGTTCCATTTAACCCTTATCGACAGCAATCTCTCAACCACTGAGAAAACACAAACAAAAGAAAAGGACACTAGTTACAGTAACTTGGGACTGATGTGCAGTTAGTCTCTGTTGAACATTTTGGGATGTAGCAGCAGCCTTCTATATCCTCATTAAGTCCTTGGCTGTGGTCTGGAGTCTCTTCACAGCGGTCTGGACCTTCACTAGTAATTTTGCCATATACTTTAATGCCTTCCTTTTCCTCTTTTCGACAAACCATCAGAGTTCAGGTTTTCCTCATCATTCGGCGGGTTTGCCAAACATGGAACTTGCTATAGGCTGCCTGCAACATGTCCTCCAAGTGCCCTGCGAGCTGTGGGAGCAGCAAAAAGATTAAATACAAGTGCCACCTGGTATAAGCCACTGTCATTAACAGCTTACAGACTTACATTTGTACTTAGGTACTGATGCTGAATTTTCTCCTGAAAAGGACGAAGCTTGGTCATCTGAAATCTCTCAAGGTTTGACTTCATTTTAATTACCTACATGATGAGGAGTATGAGAAAGAAAAAACATTAGGTAAGGTTTTCTACCATTTATGACTGGCACCTGTACCAATGGTGAGCTGAAAAGGATTAGGCCATATTAGCTATAAACTGACACATACTGACGAGAAAAAATGGTAGCTTATGGGCAGCCAGTTTATTTTTAGCATGGATGATGTCAAAGTGGAAACAAAAATGAAAAAGGCTTTGTGTGACAACAGTAATTTGACTTAATTTGATTAGTCACCTTCTCCTCCAAAAATGGTGTGTTAACAGGAAAGCAGGACCAGAAATGTCTCAACAACTCTCCAGCAGCTACATAAAGATGCTTTAGCTCTCCTTGAACCTCAGTGGGTACCATCTCTGGGGTGGAACAAAACAAGACGGGGAAAAAAAAAATCAAAGAAAAAAAGTAAAATTATGAACATAAATAAAGCAACTTGAATTTCATTGTGGTGCTCAGCTGTATTTCAGCTACTGTACCTCATACATTACAGGTGAAATACAGGCAGCAATAATAAGTAAGTTTAGAAACACACTTACGATTTATGGCTTGCTGTGCCCCTGCCTGCATGAGAACGCCACCTGGAGAAAGTGCTCCAATGGCAGAACTAGCTGCTGTGCTGGTCAACACCTGCAGAGAATACTAGTGGTGAAACCCTCTGGAGGATCCACTCATAGTTTAAACAATTTTCATAATTCTGACTTCTAGGAAAAATTGAAAATTTTGACTATTTCTAAATTACTTTAAAACATCTGAACAACACCATTAGGTCTGTGAGGTTTGGTGACAGTTTGCTAGTGAAGTGAAAACCATAAATAGGCAGTATTTTGATTTATTTCTGTCAGTTTTAACATGACAGTATGAATGATACTACAAAGATGGTCATTAAGTCAGTGATCACAGTGTGTTCTGAGCACTCAGGTGGCAGCCAGTGTGGACGCAGGGTCAGTCAACACATGTAGTGATCACTTTGATAGGAACTATTTGTCCTAATACAGAATACAATCAAATATAGAAATTCCCTCAGTGTCTTTATTAGGCACACCTGTACAATCTAATGCAACCCAACCCAATACAACTATTCTGCCACTAAGTCTACGTCTATGATGCCAATAATGTTCAGTTCTTGTTGACACTTTTACAAAGGTGTTAATTCAATATGTTTAGCACTGAGGTCATAGCTAGTGATGGACTGCATAATATTCAGAGGTGTTTCTAATATTCTCCCTCTCTCATATATGAAAATGGGGAGGGAAAAAAAATTACAAACACCTCTCAATATATATATGTAGTCCATTACAATACCATCTTTAATTAACTTTAGTAATAAACATTTAATTTAGTGTACACATTTCCAACAACAACACCACAAACTGGACATTATGAGCTTCTTAAGACAGATGTTATTGCAGGGCTGTTGTATTCATGGACACTGAGCGTGTATGCTCCATTTGTCCTAACCTGAGTGAGGTTGGGTTTATAATTGGTCATCTCATGCTGGATGTAGTTCACCGAGTTGATGATGTCCTGGCTCGTTGTATACTGTTGGGACTGAAGTGGCACGGGACCATGAGCATACCTTGAAGCAGTCAGACACATATTAGAACGTTTCACTTGGATACAACTAAGAAAGAGCCAGTAATACAGTGTTAATAGTGCATTCATTTCTGGATTACTTTAAAGGCAAAAATATGCCTGTTTCACCCGGCCTAAAACATGAAGTGTTTGCAAAATAGACACAAAAAAAGATTCTCCCCTTTACTTGAGATTCAGCCATTCACTTTATGTGTTGAAGTTACATTCTGGTGTTGCATTAAAGACACTAACAGAAACTTTAACAGTGAAAGCAATGGATTGTATATTTAAAATGAAACACACAGTCTTGATTGAAACAGTACAAAATGAGTATTCTGTCCAGAGGAAGTGAGACAAACAACAGAAGAGCCTCCTCCCAAATTCTGCTCGGTTCATTTCTGGCTACAGAAGCCTCAACATTATTTCTTCTGTTTTTCTAGAGCTGATTAAAGCTAAACTTAGGAACTAACTTTTAATAACAAGTCAGAATACAATGAATCTAAACAAAATTGCACTGATCAATCCCTGTGATTATCAACATGTTACCTTAGAAAAACTAAGCAGAAATAAATTACAATAAAATATATTTAACTGTACCTTTCAGACTTCTTGAGGTTTAATGTGACTGTTTTTGGTCCGTTTTCCCTTTGTAGATCCTCATATTCTATGGCTTCTTGTAATTTGACCTAAGAAGGTTTGCCAACAGGAGAAAGTGACTTGGTCTGACACAGACTAACAACTGTATTTTGGAAAATGTATGTTTCACTACAGAGCCTGCTCACACCTTCTTTAGAGGAGGCTGAAAGTAATCAGAATCTCTTGAATTTCCATCTGTGCTGCTCGTCTCACTGGCTTGGTCAGCTGGTGTTTCCCTTTAAAGACATGAGACAGTTAGCAAAACATGAGCACAATGAGCAAGTTAGTTCTGAAAAATGTATTTTCCTTACCCCTTGCGTGAGCCTGCTGCCAGCACCATGGCACTGTGATGGTTGAACCGCTTTATAATGGCGTAGTTACTGTTCTCTTTCACCGTCCTGTTTGCATTGGAAGTTGAGGGTAGTGTTGTGCAAACTCCATAACCCTGTGTCACAGAAAATGCCAAATATTTGAGGCTGGAGGAAAAGGAAACCTGAGGAGCATGATGTGGTTGCAGCTGGCTAATCATCTCACCTCATCTAATGTTTTATCCTCTAATGACAGGAGGTCGACCAAAGGATTCTTCACTCCTTGAACCACCATAGTCTTTAACCCTACATGAGATAGATTTAAAACTTTTACATATGAAAACATGTATGTGGCTCAGCATTTAATGCAGTAAATAAATAGTACATATGCTGACAACACTGTAAAGTCCTCCTACCCTTTTCATCCTGCTTGGCGCACTCAGAGAAGATATCCTGTGTTCCTGTGTTGATGCGGTCTCTGTGAAAATAATGGGACTGGAAAAAGCGTGTCCAGAACTCCTTCTCCGTCAGGTTATGAGGAACATTTTCACTATACTTCTGCTTCACTGCAAGTGTAATACAAGTTAATATGCATATATTCAGTCCAAACTGTTGTGTAATTGATAAATAAAACCATAGTGAAAGCTTATTTTAAATAGTCACTCAGGTGAACAGGAATGTGCTACACAGTCTTACTAAGGACAAATACCAGCCAAATCCATAAATCAACTGTTCCTCTCTGGCTGACAGTGTTAATCAGTAAAATCACTGATGTAGCCTTTAAGGTGAAATAAAAATCTGAGTTTGTAGCAGCCTTCTCCTAGTCTATCATTTCTGTTGCAATTGATGGGCTAACGTCAAAGTGGAGATGCAATTGTTTACCTGCAGGGTATGTTCTGAAGATGGATTCAATAATGTCAGCAGTCAGATTATATCTTAAGCCATTGCAGCCATCTGTCTGAGGTCTAATGTCTGCCTGTAATGCAACAAATGGCGTTTGTTAACATTCAATAGTATGCTCTTAATGTTGAGGTGTTGTTAACTGTTAAAGGTCTAATTGTGAGTGCTCACCAGAAAGGCTCCAGATATACCAACTTCCTGTTTGTTGTTGTATAGTGCGGGGTCTGTGCTGGTTATGCCTCCTAACCTGTTGGCCCAGAATTCCTCAGCACTGATTACCTGGCTCACCACAAGATCTTTATATAACTGGAAAAGCACTGGATCTTCTTGAAGCATCCTACAGGTGAAAAGAACCTGATTATATAGAGATGATCATTGCCACTTTCATTCCAAATTTAGAACCAAGAACATTCTTGATGGCTGAATAAACTGCCTTTACCTCATTAGTAATCTCGACATAAGGACATTAATTGTTCATTTCCTATTGAGGTCAAAGAACTACTGATTTACGCAATAATAGACTTAATAATAGAAGCACGGTTTTAATTAAGTGGATCTTGGGTTAGATTAGTTAGTTCCATATACAGTTCCCAAGGTCAACAGTGAGTAGAAAGTCAATGATAATGATAATCACTTTTATTGGCCAAGTATGTTACACATGCAAGGAATTTGTCTCCGGTACAGAACTGATCACCATAAACACTCACTGGCCACTTTATTAGGTACACCTGTACAACTGTATGAAATTCAATGCAACACTTTCAGTCTTTGTCATAAATGTATATATTTAGTATTAAGGTGTTGTACTGGACAACTTTATATTCAGAGATGTATATTTTTGTCCTCCGCAGCTATATACGTGAGAGGGTCAGAATATTAGGAACATGTATACAACAGGTTGAATGTGTATGTGGGACTGACTCTAAATGAACTGCAGTGAAGGAACATGCTGCCCAGAGGACTAAGCTATATTAGGCTTTGCTTAGACAATATTTGTTAGCTGGATAACATCATGTTAGTTTTGGTCTTTTCATGTGATTTGTTTACAAAAATAAAAATTTGAATACTATCAGGCTAATTCTGTAAGGAAAATCTTGTGAAAACAGAGGAGTCCAACCTGTTTTTCTCTTCCAGTTCCTTGTTGGCTTTCTTCTTGAACTTGGGCAGTAGCTGCTGCAGCAGTTCCTTGGCAGCATCTCGGTCTTTGAGTGCACTGCTCTCATTGGCAAAGTGGAATGTGGTACTCTCACCAGTGTGAAGGACGAGCTGAAGCTGAATTTTGGCTTTACCATCTGGGCTGATCTTCTGACCTGTCCAGGGCAGAAATAAAGTTAGCTTGAGAACACCACCGCCAACATATCATCACTGCACTGGTTTTAACTTGTAAGTATCCAGTACTCACAGCGAATATCTGCATATGAATGGCTGACTGTGAAGCGGTCTTTTCCCTCTGGACCCCAGGCTATACGTTCAGCCATAAGATAAAGTGTGCCATCCTGCTTCCTCTGGCGAACCTTTTTCACCACCAGTAGCACCTCCTCTGATAGTGATGCCATGGCTCAAAAAGAGATCTGAAAAAACACAAGACACGACAAATGTTACTAATCAATCATGCCCAGTATGGATACAACCTCACAGATAAAAGGATAAGCAGGAAAGAAATGTATTCTGTAATAGCCATCTAAATAACTCTGCGAAAACCGAGTCGTTACTTGACTGTCAACATACACAATAAACATCAGCAGCTTTAACGGTAGCGAGAATAAAGCGAGTATCAACACAAGACATTATAGACTTGGTATGAGAGACAAACACGAATTATTCAGGTGTTTGAACTACGTCCTGAATTAATACCCAGCTTCCTAGAACGTCTTTATATCGGCAAGGTAATCTAACCTAAACACAAGCAAGCCACTGCTGTATCAATTGTTTTATCATATCAACTTAGCTAACCAGCGTTACGTTAGCTAACGTCAACAGTGCAGAAAAAGGCTGAGGGGGAAGTCGGCAGAAAACTTATTTTACCTCAATATAAAACAATACTGCAGCAAATACCTAAATTTTCCTCAACACATAATCTCAAACCAATGTATTTTTTGAATATAAAAATAACAGAGTTAATTAAAACTGTATTTTGACTACTCTAACAGTAAGCGCCCTGAGTTCAGCGCCGACATGACTGCCAAGCTGTGTGTTACACTTAAAATGTTCCGGTGGGATCAAGCGAGAAATTCATTCCGCTTATGACCCGCAAAATAGAACTAAAAGCGTATTTACAGTACCGTTTAAGCAAATATACTGATACTAATGCTAACATTGTCAATAATGATATTAAACTGTTTCGAAATAGCACAATTTATTCAAAAAATGGTTCATTTAAGACAAATATGGATTGGCCCATAGTTACTTGTTTATATACAGTAAGCTCTGTCTGTGACTCTCAATCAAACAGTAGTGAGTTTGAGCAGTTGTTACTCCGACTCTAGTCACTTTCAAGACTAAATTGAAAACTCTGCTGTTTTGCTGTTTTCGTGTGCCTTTGATTGACTCGCTTCTCTGCTGCACCTTTGTTTTATTTATTGCATTTTGGGCAACTGACAACTTCCTACTGCACTGTACTGTTTTCTGATCTCTTATTTCATTTTTATTTTATGTATTTTATTTCGGTTTAAAACAGTGTTTTATCTTTATTTTTCCCTAACTGATTTTTTTCTGGTTTCAGTGCTTATTTTTTAATGTTGTCCTGTGTGGGTGTGTGTTTTTATGTTTCTCTTGCCTATGTAAAACATTAAATTGCTTACACATCCCTATCCTAGCACCTGCCTGTGTATTGAGTTGCTTCAGCAGTATAAATAGTACAGAGCCTGAGTCACCAATCCAGTTGGCCCAATTGTTTAGAAAGCCTGCCAGCCTTACTTACCTGCCTGTTTGTAGTGTAACCTTCACATGCAACAGTCTGACCATCTGACTATGGGTTCACATCCTGTTCCCGGATATGTTGAAGTTGAAGCCCTTAAGAAAACACTGTACTCAACAAACATGCTACATTTACTTCTCTCTCCATTCTTTCAGATGGTGGAGCTGTGCAGTGACATCTTGTTTTGCTCACACTGTCATGACCTCCAGGGCCCTGAACAAAGCGAACTCTTCTCAGGAAATGAATGTAGAATCCATACCTGATGTGTATACACTTCTTGGGTTGACAACTGAAAATAAAATGTTGCTCTTTGTGTTGCTTCTTCTGTTGCAGGTCTCTCTCCCAGCCACGAGACTCTTCTACAGCTTAAAGGGCAACCAGGCATGTTAGCACAGAGCCTTTAAACAGAGTGTTGCTGAGTTTATCACTGAGTTTAATGATGAGCATCAGAAAGTTAGTGTTTTTTATTTGCAGCACACAGCACAGTAACAGTTTATGCTTTATTGTTTTCAACCTCGTTCTTCATTTTTTTCCACCCAAGTCCTTGTTTCCTCATTTTCCAGCATGCTCACCTCTCTGTGTCACTGGCACAGGGATGATCAGGTTGAACTGGCACAGACACACTTTTAATAAAAACAATCCCAGAAATCTGAATGTGTCATTATGAAATTCTGTTTGGCTGCTTAAAAATAATAAACTGTCTTTTCAGTCGGCTCACTGTGACATCCAGTACTGCAACCACTTGAACTTAACTGGTGCCACAGAGATGCATTTCCTGTTGTGAGAAAGGTTGAGTAGAATAGTTTAATTAATTTGAAATGATGATTTGACAGGTTTTCAACATGGGTGAGAGGACAGAAGTAAAAAATTTGATTTGAGAGGTTATTAGGTCGAACCGGCGAGTGATGTTGTTCTCCTGTCAGGTAGGATTGGCAGAAAAATGTAGCTTATTTGTCAGCGTTTTTTGTTTATGCGGTGTCCTGGCTTCCTGACCGGTCTTGTGTCAAAAGGTGTTCCCCTGAGATGATATGTTTCCTTCTACCTAAAGTTCAGAAGACTTGGCAATACAAGATTTTTTTTAGCCATTCAGATGAAAACACTGCACTTCTTACTCCACTACAATTATTTGACAGCTTTAGTCACAACTTTTATACATTCAGATTTTGCCTACAAAAAACTGAGCTGATGAAATATGTTGCACTCTTATACAATATATTATGATGATGATGATGACACTTTATTACAGACTCAAGGTCCAAGATCAAAAACAAATAAATAAAGTAGTATTCACTGAACTTGAACCTACTACTGACACTGGTCCAATAATATAAAAAAACTAAACAATAAACATATATTTATGTACAAAAACACAGACTGTTTGGAAAAATGGGTAAGATGCACGTGGTCATTCTTCCTCTCCACTGTGTTGAGTGAGTGACTGTGTTGATTATGCTCATCCTTGAGACCCAGTTCCAAGAATGTCTGCAAAAATGCAACAGACATTTCAATGAACTGAACCAGGGTACAGCCACAATAATCTAGAGTCTAGAGAGAGATACATGAAGATTGGATGAGATCTTTGCATCAAGGGCAGACTGAACCACCAGCATGGGGTGAGGCCATCACTTGGGGAGCTCTGTAGCAGCTCGGCTGGGTGAGATCATGGCTGACTGATTAAGCAGAAATTCTTTTTTCACTTTTCATTGGGCTGAATGTTTGGCCCTTAGAATATTAAGTGCAACATTGGTTTTGTTTGCTGATGATACTACCATTTGGGCATCTGATGAAAACCTACGGCAACTCTCGGTAAGGGTTTCAGAGGAATTTGTGAAGATAAAGAAATGGTGTGATAGTAATTTACTATCTTTGAATTTGGAGAAAAC